TATACACTGAGGTAGCAAGAGGTGCCATTCTGAGATCTACGATCCAATATGTTATGGAGGGTGAAAAAAATACAGCTTTTTATACTCCCACATGAAATAGGGTGATTCTAAAAAGAAAAAACAGGCAGTAATAACCAATCACAGAAGACTTTTTGATGGGATCACCAATACCACAAGTAGTACAGCGATTCATTTGATGTAAACTGAACTTGGTGTAATAAATAATAAAACTTGACCTCAAATATCATCCTTTAATACCCAACGTTTCATCAAAAAAGTTTTGACTTCATCAGGGGAAGAAGAAACAAACTACAAATGGTGGAAGGCAGTTAAGATTAAAATTACAATATGACCTCATAAGGTTTATGACGTCACAATCTTAGAAACCACATAACAAGAGAAGGGTCAAATCACAAAATGGTGGGAGGCAATTTTATTCTTGATAACATGACCTCAGAAGATTTATGACATCAAAATCTTAGATACAACATAACAAGTATGTAATGATGACTTCAGGATTTGCCAAAAAATCTAAACAGGAAGGGAAAAAAGTGGGGGGGGAATACACTAATATTTAGCAATTTTGAAACCTCCTGGGTTGAGTTCATTCAATCCTTACGGCCATACAGAGTCATGTCTATGAATCCACAGATTTTCTGAACTGTCTAATTTGCTTTTGTTTTTGCTTTCATTTGTAATTTTCTCAAGAAGTGTGCATTTATAATCATGACCAGGGGCCGGTTTCATCGCAAGTTTAGATCCAAGTGTAGAAGAAATATACGATCGTAGCTAGTACTGATCTTAGAACCACTTGCTCAAAACGATCGTACGACGATCTTAGTTACGACATGGTTAAGACGAAAACCATAGCGTGACATCATGTGTTTCTGTTACGACGGTGCCATTATAGCGGACATAATGTCAAAGCAAAGCGAGCGTCAAATTCTACCAAATTTTCAGTGAATTTGATTTCTCTTGTGGACTATAGTACATTGGTACGACAGGACATCTCAGCAATATCTGTAATAGCAGCTTTTTATTTAGACCTACGATTCCAAAGCAGAGAATACACAAATCAAAATGTCGTCAGTGGGGACAGTAAAAAGACGAGATTGATAGTGAAAGATAAGGAAACTAGACCATCTCTTCCAATTTTACCAATTATTTTAAAATAGATGTTCCAACCTAGACCTGTCCATTTGAGACTGAGAGACTCAAATTACGACAGCCACATGTTGTAATTGCTACTGCTTTGTAGCCTAGTACTTCTTTTTATTTCCTTTTTCTGCAGTTTCCCAAGCGTTAAGGCGGTATTTAACAGCTCTACCCTATAAATCTTGTTGTGTTACGGACCCATCCCCATGCAACCAACCATTTTGATAACGAAAGATCGGTCGTACAACATCTAAGTACATGTCGTAGCTAATGGTCTTAAATCCTAAGATATGACCAAAGTTGAGACTGTATTTATTTTGTGATCGGTTGCAAACTTACGACCTGTCGTAACTCTTTTGTGAAAATGGTCCCAGTTTGGTTAAAATGGGGGGCAATATAAGGAGCTTTATGAACCTTTTTATACGCCCACATGAAATGGGGGGCGTATATTGCCGTCACCCATGTCGGTCAGTCAGTCCGTAAACACTCTACAAGACACAATTCTTGAATTTTTATTAAAAACGCGTTCAATTTTTAGTTTGTAAACACTCTAGAAGGCACAATTCTTGATGGATTTTAACGAAAATTGGCATAAGTGTTCGTAATCAACAAAGGATGAACCCTGAGTATGAGTTATTGCCCTTGTTCTTGAAAACGTGTTCAATTTTTAGCTCCTAAACATTCTAGAAGGCACAATTCTTGGTGGATTTTGACCAAACTTGACATAAGTGTTTGTTATCAACGAAGGATAAACCCTATCGAAAATCAGAAAAATTGAAAAATATTTAGTATGAGTTATTGCCCTTGTTCTTGAAAACGCGTTCAATTTGTAGCTTGTAAACACTCTAGAAGGCACAATTCTTGATGGATTTTGATGAAACTTGGTGTGATTGTTCGTAATCACCCAAGGATGAACCCTATTGAAAATCAGAAGAATCGAAAAATATTAAGTATCAGTTATTGCCCCTGTTGTTGAAAACGTGTTCAATTTTTAGCTTGTGACAGATTTGGACGAAACTTGGTGTGAGTGTTTGTAATCACCCAAGGATGAACCCTATTGAAAATCAGAAGAATTGGAAAATATTTAGTATGAGTTATTGCCCTTGTTCTTGAACACATTTTAAAGAACAAGGGCAATAACTCATGCTCAATATTATTCAGTATTGCGCTAAAGAGTTCAAAGGAAGTGTATGACTGAAGGTTGAATATTTCATACTGGTGATTGTTACTGCACTGCTAAATATTTTTATTCAAAATCAAAGCTGCCAGTGGGCGTATATTACCTTGCCTGGCAAGCTATCTTTCAATTTAATGTTGCTCCTATGTTTGTTATGTCTAATATTTTTTGCCTCAGCCAATCTCAAACTGTGAAAAGTCACACAGAAAAAAGAATCCACAATAATCTAACAACAGAAGAAAGATTAGCATTGTCAGCATTAAGGAATGATACAGAAATTGGTCAAGCTGACAAAGGAGGTGGTAGTTATTTGGGACCGACAAGACTATATCAAAGAATGTGAGAAACATCTTTAGGACAATTCAGTGTATCAGAAGGTAGGGAAAGATAATTCTAATGAAATCTATGATCAACTGAAAAATTTAATTTATTCATTGAAAATTGATGATAAAGAGAAGGAAGCTATCCTCCATAGACTAGTTAAGACACCAGCCCACTTTTACATTCTTGGCAAAATACATAAAGTTAAAACTACATCAGAAATTCCACCTGGCAGACCCATATGTAGTCAGATAACAGCTCCTACATATAAGGCATCTCAATGGCTTGACTGGAAATTAAAAGAGGTAGCTCAGGATTACTGTCATGAAGTTGTCAGAGACACCACTCATTTTCTACAAAAAATCCAATCTCTCAACAACAGTTCTGTATCAAAAGATAGTCACCTACTTACTCTTGATGTTATTAGCCTTTATCCCAACATCATTATATCTGAAGGTCTGGATGCTTTTAAGGATGCTCTGGAGAAAACGAACAACATCAGTCTAGAAGAAACTAATAGCATTCTACAAGTTGCAGACTTTGTTCTGCACAACAATGAATTTGAATTCAATGGGAACTTCTTCAGACAGATATCTGGGACATCTATGGGGACACCCTTTGCAGTTACATATGCCAATATCTATATGACCTATTGGATAAATACATTTATCTGAATTCTTTATCTGAAAAACCAGACATATCCTGCAGATTTATTGATGACATTTGGGCTCAGTCTACTAAATCACCAGAAGAATCTCACAAATTTTTACACAAATTGAATAATCTTCACCCCAAAATTAAATTTACAATGGATATTGACACAGATAAAGTGAATTTTTTAGATGTAAAAGTAATTAAAGAGGGTAACAGATTAGAAACTGATCTATTCTGTAAAGAAACAGCTAGCCACCACTATCTACCACCTGCCATCCTAGACATACTTTTAAATCAATACCTTTCAGTGGTGCACTCAGAATACGAAGAATTTGTAGTAAGAACGAATGGGAAAACAATAGATTATTTCAATTTGAAGAATTCTGGATATAAAGACCACATTGTAGAAACTGCCTTTAGCAAAGCAAGTGAAAGATCATGCCTTGAACTGCTATTTCCCTAACACCAAGCAGAAGAAGATGAAAAGAAAATGAAGATTATTCCATAAACTAACACCTATGACCCACGACAACCAAATCTACACAAAATGGCCAAAGACACAGACATTTTAAGGACAAGCTACAGAATGACGGACATTGTGGCAGGACTCAGGAATAGGACCTTGGGAAATTTATTAAGGTAAAACAAATTAAAACAGTGTGTAGAAAATGTGAATATTTCTAAAAGTGTGGGATGTGTACCTTGTAATAAACCCAAGTGCAAAACTTGTGAAAAGATAAACACAACTAACACAATCACCAATAGACACTCAAAATCATTTTATATCAAAGACTCTTTAAATTGTCAGAGTAATTTTGTTATATATTGCCTTACTTGTGAATTATGTAAATTTCAGTATGTTGGCCAGACAATAACCCCCTTCAATATTAGACATAACAAACATAGGAGCAACATTAAATTGAAAAAGTTTCATAAAACTCCTCATATTGCCCCCCATTTTAACCAACCTGGTCATAATTATAAATGCACACTTCTTGAGAAAATTCCAAATGAAAGCAAAAGCAAATTAGACAGTGCAGAAACTCTGTGGATTCATAGACTTGACTCTGTATGGCCGTATGGATTGAATGAATTCAACCCAGGAGGTTTCAAAATTGCTAAATATTAGTGTATTAACCCCCCCTCCCCCCCCCCTCCTTTTTTCCCTTCCTGTTTAGATTTTTTGGCAAATCCTGAAGTCATCATTACATACTTAATATGTTGTATCTAAGATTTTGATGTCATTAATCTTCTGAGGTCATGTTATCAAGAATCAAATTGCCTCCCACCATTTTGTGATTTGACCCTTCTCTTGTTATGTGGTTTCTAAGATTGTGATGTCATAAACCTTATGAGGTCATATTGTAATTTTAATCTTAACCCTTTCAACCCTAGCGGCCGGTTTACCAGCCAAACACTTTCGCAATATATACCCGAGCAGCCGGTATATGGGTCGTTGCTTATACTTTTATTACTTGGAGTTCAGGGTATATGACGTATTTCAATGGGGTAAATCCAGTACTAATCTGCGAGGTGGCGCTGATAAGCAACTCGGTCTTGACGTCAGGAAGCGCACAAGTCGAACTGTCGTCTGCAAGCTTAGTTATCGGATTTTTTAACCATCTGAAACCTAACTGAAAATGACATCAAAACCTCCTATCAACTCCATGAGCATATCAGAACTTAAAACAGAATGAGGACATATGTGGCGAAGGTTTCTGGCAGTAAACAGGACTTATGTGATCGGTAAGTTTAGACTATATGTGGGCATTGTGGGTGTTTTGTCATCGTTCACTCTCATTTTTAATCATTTTAGTCACAGACGACAGACGGATGGCCTACCGTACTCTTATCTGGCTAGTATGCCTCATGATAATCATATAAGAGTACCCATGGTTGTATTAAAGGGTAGCATGTTGCTTATTAGAAATTTCTTTGAAAAAGACCGTCGTTCTTCAAATTTCATGAAGATCACCATTGATTGATCCAAAAATAGCCTGAATGTCGATTTAAGGATTTGCAAGGGAGTTTTCTCCCTTTCTTGTGCTCTCCACAACAATGATATTTGATGATGTCGGCTGAAAAATAATTATGTGGATTTAATTTTAATCTAATGGAAGTGTGCACCGAGAGTGCCACCGTCACTAGCCTACCCCTCTCCTCCCCCTCTTGGCTGTGCTGCTGATTGGAAATGGTGGAAGGTAGGCTAGTTCAAACTTATTATTTAAATATTTTTGACATGTTTGTTTACTTTTTAATTTCTGTTATACCAGGTTGCAGTTTTACAGAGAAAACAAACTTGCTGTGCCACTCGAGCCAGAATATAGGAAGACACTCCCCGATAACAGCCAATATAAAGATGTACACACTGGAATGATAAGTGAATATTTCTCGCCTTGAGGAATATTTGCAGCAGTTCAACAAACCATTAGATACTGGTAAAATAGTGGATTTTTACAATCAAAGGTGAGGAAACAAATGTTTTGATCCCACCATTTTCACACCCTATGTGACAGTATAGGACCCTTGATATTTGTTGTGTTCTGATCTTGTTACACCCTCTTGGCAGCTTCCTTTTCGTTTTTATCTTGGCTTATGTAACAATGTTCAATTTCCTGTGGTTTTGTGTTGTCATTTGACAAATCATACTATGATATGTCTCTTTAGTTATTTTGCCAAAATAATCTGTATCCTTTTTCACTTTCCCCAGCTGAGTTTTGTCATCCCAAAATCCTCTTTTCATATTTATCTCCTTTCAATAAACATCCCTATTCCCTATCTCCGTGCATGAAGCTGCATAAATTTTAAATGTGTGGTGTCTAACATTTTGGAATACCATATATGTATTTTCAGTAACAACATGTTTTTTTAGGTTCTGTTTTAATATTTCTAATCCCAGATTTCTTCGGTTTCTCCAAGCTGCACCAGGTCCAAATGGTTCCCTTTACTTGACAGCTGTTGGGTGGGCAGAAATGAAAAAGAATGTTTCGTACAAGGTGGATGTAATTTTGGAAGGCAGTGGCGTGATTGGTGAAGCACAGTGTGAATGTGGTGCAGGTCAAGGCCCAGCAGCACATTGCAAACATGTCTGCACATTAGTTTATGGTACGATCTGCTTCATTCAAGAGGAAAAGATATTGACTGAAGTTACATGCACCAAGGTGAGGTATATTTAAGTTTCAGTTTTTTACAAGAGAATCTATTGTTGAGTGGGAAACAGCTATCGGTCACAAGTTTATGCTAGAACTTGTTTTTAACTTGGATGCGATTTCAAATCTGTCTTTTGTCTTGAATTACATGAGTGAGAATTGGTGTAAAATTCTAAACAAACAATAAAACACGATTACATTTATTTGCAGTCATAACATTTTCAACAGATTTTAACCATGCATGTGAACAACTTATGTTTTATTGTCCCACTTTATTTTATTTTAGGTTCTCCAATCCTTTCACCATTCTAAACCACACAAGGGCTCACCACTGAAATTGACTGGGATATCACTTCCTAGGAAGAGACAGAAAATGACAGTTAACCAAATGGAAATATTCGATATGACCCAAGAAGAGACTGTGATAAAAACCGAGAAAACTACAATTCAGAACTAAGAAGTTTGTGTGTTAACTATCAGGTAACATGTTAATCTTTCATGAATATCAATATTGAACTGCAATGATGGAAAAGATTGAAACTATCCTTCATTACATGTATATGCAATTATAAGTCCTGTTGCCAGTTTATAATAAGATAAATGAATAACCATATCACATCATTTTACTACCTAAGTACTGATGATTGTATATTCCTTATATAAAACAGATCTTAGTGTATTGTAAATTCACAAATCCATGAATTCATTCTCTACAGGCTAATTATGGAGGATCAATGCCAGCCATGCAGTTAGTCCCTCCAGCCAATCTTCATGGAGTTCTTGTAGATCACGACTATCTTGAATACGATGCTGCCTACCAGTTCTTAGTAGATGAAAAGGTAATGATATATATTCCACATTAATTAAGAAATGTTACCTCTTAGAATGATGATAAAAATTAAAATTCTTATAATTTGCTTGTAAGAGAATATATTTTCAGTGGATTTACATAGTCATAAATATACAACAGAATTCTTCATTTTATCTTTATTTTAAGAGGTAGTATTCCTAAATTACTTTCATTTTTAGGCAGTACAAAACACTTATTTATACAGGTCTTTATTTTGAGGAATTATGACGAATGGGGCGTGGTTTGGACCTGATGCAATTTTTACAACACTGTGTGCAAACCTGGTCTGAAAGATATGGTCTTGGACAATGTTAAAATGATAAAAATGAGTAGTTGGACTGATTGTAGTTGGAACAGTCTTGAATGATGTTGGATTATTTCATGATTAACTTATTTCTATTGATACTCATAGTGTATATGGAGGGAAAACATTTAAGAGAATATTTGAATACTGTACCAGACCCTTTTAGAAAATGTGTTAGATGACCAATATTTTTTGTTTTCAGTTGATTTCCATAAATGATGAAGATGTCAGTTTTATTGAATTTCATACACGGGGACAAAATAAATGCAGAGAATGGAAAAAGGTTCGTGAGATACAAATCACAGCTTCAAACTTTGGCCGAATTTCAAGGGGGACAGACAGACAGGACAAAATTAACTAATTTCAGAGTCTGCTTTTATCTTGTGATTTGAAAACAAATTCAGTGCTGCATGGTTTAAAATATGAATCAGTTGCAGTTCATGAATATGAAAAACTGTGTAAAACCAAAACTACTGAATGTGGATTTTTTGCAAAGACAGTAGTAGTATTAGGAACAATTTTGATCTTCAGAAGAAAAAAGAGAAATTGTTATCTGATTTTTATTAGATTAAAATAAATATAGCAAATGATAAGACTGGTTTAGTGTTTTTTATATTATATCATTTCATTGTGTAAGTTTCATAACAGGTGAGAAAGTTCATTGAAACAATTCATCAATACATTGGAAGTATATCAAGTATAATGAGTAATTATTTCATTATGAAAACTGGCATCAGATGTCTAGAAGAGTAAGCGTATCCTGCTTGGTGCTGCACCTATCATTGCTGCTCAATAAAACACACAAAAAATGGGGGTGCAAGATGATGAAAAGTTTGCATATTGTCCCTCATCTTCACAGCGTCAAGCCATTACGAAATACATACTTATACTTTGACTGCAATAGTCACCTTCCTTGAATTTGATTAGATTGCATGGTAGCTAATAGAGCCAGAAAGGAGGGCTCCAAATGGCTGAATTAGCTACCAAGCAATCTTATCAAACTGCTTCAAGGTATAAGTATGTAGTTAGTATAGCTTGACATTGTGAAGATGACTTCTTACACTTGAAATTGGCATTATGCATATTTTGGAACAATGCACTCTCTAAAGTTACAAAGAATAAAATAAACTTTTGAAATTTCTGTAGCAAGGGATAGTTCAGTGTTATTAAGTTATGCATTCAATATTTTATAAGTCTTGGCCAGCCCAATAATTCGCTCAATATGGACACGTTTACTTGCAATCTTTCCATCTTTCATAATGGTATGGCCTGACAAACGATTTTTATTCTTAAAAAATGTGGGAATATTAACTGTTACATTTTTAGAAGTAAAAAGGTCCTGTATGTTAAAACCCTTGTATACCATGATACTGTCTCCCGGGTCACATAAAGCCACCAAATTGCTTCTCTCCACTATCTGGCGATCACTTGTCGAGCCCCCATAGGCATCTGAGACATAAGACACTAATCCCCCTGGAGTTGCCCCAACAACAACCTTAGCTGTTTTTGTATGTGGAAAAAGTCCCTTGTTGCAAGATAGGGTTCTTTGATTGTTTGACAGAAAATTCTGTCCCATCAAGAATGACTGTGGTAGTTGGGAACTTAGCTTTGAAATCAGATGGACAAAAATACTGTGCCACATCTTGGTTTACTTCACCCCATTGGAAAGCTAAAAAATGGATCCAGGTGACGAAAATATTGGTAACTGCATTTTCAGACATATCAAACATCCTAGAAAGTGCAAAATTTGTCAAATGTTGACGTAACTTAATTAAACACATAAAAAACTGATCAACAACAGAAATCTTTGGTGTTACACTGTGATAATACTTACGGTAGTTTACACCAGAACCAAGAGTTGAAAATACAAACATAAATTTCTCATAGTTTTCCAGTCCTGTGTAGTAATGAATACCCTTTGGGTCATGGATAAAAAAACTGGTAGAAAATCTGTTCTGGGTAGTGATTTCACATTGGGAAGCCTTGTCAACAAACTGAAGACTAACTAATTCTGTAGAAGCTTCATTTGAATCTGAAATGGGTTGTAAAAGAATGCATTTAGTAAATTTACTTTTGGTTAACGATTCATTAAGTATTTCAGTCACATTGATGGAATTATTTCAATGCCATAGGTCATAGAAGCAGAGATCACATATTTTTTTTTACTTAATTTTAAGGGCATCTCTACTGACAAAATTTCCAATAAAGTTACATAGAATTTTACAAATATTCTCTGTATGTAGAATTGGAAAGCAAAATAAAACAAATGACTTTGAACATATAAAATAATATAGTTGTAGAAAAACAATGAATAAGTTGGTTTTCTGTATTTTACAAAATAATGGAACAGTTAGAGCTTAATATTACCCTTCAATGTGTCATTGATTATTTCTTCACCAACAACATTTAAATCATTTGTAATCTGCGCATCTAAATTTCTAGCCTCTTCCTCCATATCTAATAGTCTTCTCTTACATCTTTCTCTTCTACCTTTCTCTGTATCCGTCAGCCTTTTCTGCCAGGGAAAAATGTGTGGAATGGCTGTAGGTTTAAGTCTAGCCTGCAATCTTTCAGTTCCTAAAATCATATTTCACATCTTAAATGTTTTTGTTTTGAACCTTCAGGAATAGGCTACAGATCATTTTAAAATTGTCTATGGAAGTTCTATTTTGCTAGGCCTATTATTTTCATAGGAATTTGAATATTTTCACAATAGTGTTGTCGAGGGTGGTGATGGGGGTTAAATCATCACACCAAAGGTTCAAATTAATAGATTTAATAATCAACAAAAACCATGAAAGTACAAATAAACATAATTACAAACAGGTCATAAAATAAAGGTAAAACTTAATCACAATAGATATATATATTATATAGGCAACCATATGTTATAACTACCGAACTGTATGAAATATACAGAAAAATATAAATATCAATGAAAAACCTATCCTTAACACACTAATACATACTAACTAAAATACTTAGCTATGCACAATACAATATGTATATAACAATGCTTACCCTAAAAGGGGTTTAAACGCTTACCAAAGTAAAGGTGTAGCACCTTACCACCAAGGGTTATATAAAGGGAATCTGTAATAAAATAATGTAGGTTATGAATGTAATGAATGTAATGGATTAAATATAAGAATTAATGAAATGTAATATTTGACTGCAGAAATGTATGTGCTTAACTTAACCAAATTACAATATGGCCGACACCTTAGTTACCCACACAAACAAAGATATAAGTACAGAACTTTTACATACCTATACTAAAAGTTATCCTAGGTTTAAAATCCAAGGTACACACTGGAAAAGTGTACACAAACACTTAAAGAAAGCTATAAACCTAATTGAAGAAACTTCAATTACACCATATTACAGAAAATACAATACTGAATGACAGAACAAGCCATCCTACAAATTCAAACTATATAGACAGAATGACCACAAAGACATAGGGAAAATACAACTCAGGGGGTCATTACAGCTCAGATGAACAAATATAGACACCAAGATGAATAAAGATCAGAAACAGAGAAAAGATATAGAAAGGTAGAAAAGGCAGTGAAGTGTAACTGTTAGTTTAATACTGTGAACTGAAAACAACTAATTAAAATTAAAAGCAGTTTAATTACACCCTTCAACATACTCCCCTCCTTCGGAAAAATGTTGTCCCAACATTTACACAAATAAAATTGTGTTTCAAAGCACAAAACTAAAATCAATCTACTTGAACATTGTGATCTACAATGACATATTAAACTTAACTACCCACCAAAACTAAAACATTTAAACTAAACTAATACTGTGCTTACCATTTAAAATACATCAGAAAACAAAGATTTACATAAAGATGGCAACATTTGCAAAACTGCTTCTAACCTTTCTGGTGACATCGACACAAAATCTGTTGGTAACAATGAATGTGCCAACTCAGCTCGCAATCTGCTTGCTGTGTCATAACATAATCGTTAAACCTTGTTGGTGTCCTGGTAGCTCTAGTTGATCTGCGAGGAACTTCAAGTTGAACTGGAGACTCAAATGCTGCTTCAGACTCTGGTGGTAAAGGATCTATATTTTCAGGAACTGGTTCTGGAACTGATACTGGTTCAGGAACAGGCTCAGCAACTGGTTCATCATCTGTGGTGATATCAGCCACTAGATCAGGTGTCGCAGCAGGGCTAGCTATGGATTGGTAGTCCGTCCATTCCACTACAATCACCTGGTCCTCTTCTCCACTGTCCTCACTTTCCTCCTCATCAACTTCTTCAACGACAAGTACTTTAGATCTTAACTTACCCTTTAGTCTTGGTTTTGGCCGAGGTCTTGTTGGTACAGGATCAATGATAGGTATCGAGCTAACAGGTAAAAGATGGTTCCTGTGCAAGGTTCACAGTTGGCCTTCTCCGCTCTCAGTACACACATCATACACTGGTATATCTGCGTTTGGTTGTCGAACTACCTTGTCGACATCATCCTTCCACTTGTCCCCAATCTTATGACGACCTTCCTTAAACGCTAAACGTCTAACTAAAACTCTATCACCTGGTTCAAGAATATTAGACCTGGCTCTAAGATTAAACTTATACTTCTGCGCCTGATGGTTACGGGATACTGCGGTGTGGTATGCATGTTCGAGCTTCTCCTTCAGTGAGTCAATGTAGGTGTTATAACTTTTAGTGGCCTCTTTACCTGGGTTGACAAGTTCAAGCATAACATCTACTGCAAAAGTAGGCTTTCGTCCGAACATCAGCTGAAAAGGTGAATATTCTGTCGCAGAATGGGTTGTGCAATTATATGCATGAACTATAGAAGGGACATAGGTCTTCCAATCAGTTTCTGGTCCGGATGTAGTGTACCTAACATGTTTAATAGAGTTCGATTAAAGCCGCACTGTCGATTTCCCTGAGGATGATACGGTGTTGCTCTGGACTTCTCCATTCCAGTGAAAGTACAGAGCTCCTTAATCAACTTATCCTCAAATTGTTGCCCTTGGTCACTGTGAATGCGTTGCGGGATTCCGTAATGGACTATGAAAGTGTCAAAGAAGGCTTTAGCAGTAGTTTTCGCGGTGGTATTACGAACAGGTACAGCTTGGGTGTAACGAGTAAAGTGATCAGTAATCACAAGTATGCTGTCATATCCTCCCTTACACTGCTCTACACAAACACAATCCATACAGACTAACTCTAGTGGACTGGTGGTGGTAATATTCACAAGTGGACAAAATGATGGTATAGACTTCCTTCTCAAACAACGTGGACAGTTTTTGATGTAATCCTCTATGTCCTTCACCATCTTAGGCCAGTAGAATCTTTCTCTAGCGAGACTTACAGTTCTATCTCGACCTTGATGACCTAAATCATCATGATACCCTTTAAAGCTGCTGATCTATAGCTTGATGGTAGAACAAGTTTATACTCCTCTACTTCATCACCAATAATTCTCCTGTACAGCACACCCGATCTAAGAACGAATTGGTCTTTATCTCTGAGTAATGCTGCTTCCTCTGCTGATGATGACTTATAAGTTGTTCCGGTTTCTAAACTTGTGATCAACTTACCTAGTAGATCATCTGTCTGTTGACGCTCTATCCATTCATCGTTGGAAATAATTGAAGAACCAGAAGTAATCAAATCTGGAGCAGATTGATGCGACATACTAATAGTCCTACAATACCCTTCCTCTAGTTCTACATTCTTTAAAGCTCCTATAATGCTTTCATCAACTTCAACATACTGTGGAAGACGACTTAATGCATCTGGATCAGCGTTCTTCTTACCTGGCTTATATTTTATATTGAAGTTGTAGTTGGACAACACTGCCAACCATCTGTGTCCTGTTTCATCTAATTTCGCTGTTGTTAAAATATACGTCAAGGGATTGTTATCGGTATATACTGTAAATTTAGTGTTAAAGAGATACTGGTGAAATTTCTCTGTGACTGCCCATTTTAATGCCAAAAATTCAAGTTTGTGAGTGGGGTAATTCTTTTCAGATCGAGAAAGGGAACGACTTGCATAAGAGATGACTCTCTCTTCCCCATCCAACTCCTGGTACAGAACCGCACCTAAACCAAACCCACTAGCATCTGTGTGTAAAACAAAAGGCTTAGTGAAATCTGCATAGGCTAGAATAGGTGGATTTACCAAAACTTCTTTCAGTTGTTGAAATGCTGACTGCTGTTCACCGCCCCACATCCAGTCTTTAGGTGTTGACATCATTTCCTTTGACCCCTTCCTCCTCTTCTTGGAAATCGGTCCTCCGATCAACATGTCATTTAAAGGCTTAGCAATGATGGAAAACTGTTTGATAAACCTCCGATAGTAACCAACGAAACCTAGAAAACTTCTCAACACCTCCTGGTTGTTAGGAACTGGCCAAGATGCCACCTTGTCTGTTTTCTTAGGATCGGTTTTAACTCCATCTGATGACACTACATGACATAAATATCTAACTTGTTCTTTGAAAAACTCGCATTTCTTAGGAGACAATTTA